TCACAGACTCAATGAAATGATGACCTCTTCCTAAATATTTTTTCAAATGATCTATTTTGTGTATATGTTTTCCTAGAAACAAGGGTGGCTCAACATACCCCTTTGGCTAAACTTACCCGACTCTCCCCTACAATCGGTGAGTCACTGAATCCTTTATAAGAGAAAAAAACTTAGTTTGGATCAGCTTATAATTATTTCTTAGATAAATAAGTTATTTATTTATTTTATTTTATATACAGTACATATGTCTATTGAGACACATAGCTTCCAGGAAAAAAATTATAATAGTTACAAAGACGCACAAATAACAGGGAAGGGGGCAGGGCAATAGCTTAACCATACTTTTATGCACATCCCCGTAAATCAAGTGTTCAAATAGAATGGGATATAGCACCAGTTGGTTGGTTGGTTTTAAGTTTGTTTTTTTTTATTAAGTGAGTTTGCAGCTGATTCAGTGCTACCAAGCTACTGGGCTAGCATTTCTCCACTGTTAAAGTCTGCATCTGAAATATCATCTAAATATGGTGCCATTTCGGACACAGAATATGTGAGAGTGTCATACAGGAAGCAGGAAGCACCTCTAGGCCCCTTCCCTCAGACCCCCTGTCTGAATGCATATTTTGTGCTGTGTCCACCTTGTGGAGTTGTGTTGGCATGAGATCATACAAGCATCTCCAAGAAAAATATCAACAAAAAGGAAACACACTTTGCATTAAATGTAAATTCTGAGGAGTGGCGTTTGTTTACTAGGCTGAGTAAGTTCACTGTCTGAAGTCCTGGTGTAGCATATATTTTGTTGTTGTTGATGATTGTTGTTGTTGTTGTTTTGTTCTACAGTGCAATAAACCTTGTCAAATGTTGCCACTATGGAAAAGGTACAGTATGATTGCTATGCTATGGGCGGCAGATAGCCTAGCGGTTAGAGCTTTGTGCCAGTCCGAAAGGTTGGTGGTTTGAATCCCCAAGCTGACAAGGTAAAAAATCTGTTGATGTAAACAAGGCACTTAACCCTAATTGCTCCAGGGTTGCCATTGATAATGGAAGACCCTGGCTGTGACCTCACTCTCCGAGGGTGTCTCAGGTGGAGTAGGGATATGCAGAAAACCCAATTCACATGTGTATAATACACACTTGTTCATTAAACAGGACAAATATAAGCACCCACCTAATTATTTATAATTGGTCCAAATTGTCTTTAACTGCAAGGAGTGATATGGGGGAGTTGGTTGGATGCAGCTAAAGTGCTTTAAGTGCTTGGGCTTGAAGAATGGGGACCTACTGAAGAGAGAGCAATCCGGTCTCACCCAGCATGCCCAGTCTAAAGGACCCTTCACCAGACCATACTCATGCATGGTGGTAACACTGTGAGCACCTGTGAGGACTGCAGAAGGCTAAGGAAGGACTATGGGAAAGGGAGGGATAGGGGTTAGGGATGGGGGGAGAGAGGGCGGAGAGGGTGAGGGGGGCTGTGTGGGGTTTTAAGGCACCGTCATTGGGTACTGTCTCCATTCGTTCCACCCTAAACCTGTAAATGTGACGCAGCACATCGGGTGGGACAAGCTGGTTGCTTTGGAGACAGTGGGGAAGGCCAGTGGTGTCCAACATGGCAGGAAAGAGATCAGAGGCCAGCCTACCCATAAGCCTTCACTTCATAATGATGGACCCTGAGAAAGAGGAGGAGTCTCTGCATGACAGGATGGAAGGAGGCTGGATTTGTGTTTGGGTATTCTAACACCTCTAAACTGATCTTAGTGAAAGACAGCATTTACACACATATACAAACACACATACACACATTGAGTTGGGTTACAGTCACTCACACTTTAAATCCAGTGGAAAATTCCCTCCTTCGTCTCTCTCTAAAAGAATAGTGCAGATGATTAGTTTCTCTCTCTCTGTTGTTTTCATTCGAGGGGCAGAGTTTCCCCTAGCACACAGCAGATAGCTGCAGACGATGGACAGAAGGCTTGGCCTATAGGCTGTGCTCCCCCAGTCTTCTCCTGCCCTCCCCCCTCCGTCCCCCTCCCTTCCCTACCCGGCAGTCATATGACCTGAGGTCAACGGTCCGGCGCTCTTTCGATTGTGCTTTGTGAAGGGCAGGAGTAAAAAAAAGTATATCCTATTCCTCTCCTCCTTCCTTTCCTTCTCTAAATCCATCCTCTCTCCAGGTTGTTGCACTGGGATTCTCCTCTCCTCGTCCTTTTCCATAATAGAGCCGGGGAGAGGCTGACCATACTTATCCACACAAACCAGACATTAACCCTCGCTTCCTCCCTTTGGATGGACGGCACTGCAGAGAGAGAGACAATAAAGAGAGAGGGGGAAAATAGAGAGAGAGAGAGAGAGATGAGATATAGAGAGAGAGAGAGAGAGAGAGAGATGCTAGTAAGAGGAGAGAGATCTGGAGATCTCTGATCTATGAGCTCTATCATCTATCTCGAGCTATCTCTCGATCGCTCCTCTCTCTCTCTCATCTACGTCTCCCTCTCCCCGCCTCACCTCCCCCTCCCCCTCCCCCCCCCCCCTCTAAAGAACCCCCAAGGAAAGAAAAGAAAAAGAAAGAATATACATTTAATTAAATATAACAACCAATGACGAAACTAGGAAGGGAGTTTTTTCTGCCAGACGTATGCATCCTTCAGCAAACTGTATCTCATAGGCAGGTAACACCAGTATGTGAAGGACTAACACACTAACACCATTCAACTAGTTCTGGACACAGCCTAGAAACACTCTGAGAGGGAGAGAGAGCGACAGAGAGAGAGAGAGAGAGAGAGAGAGAGAGAGAGAGAGAGAGAGAGAGAGAAAGAGGAGAGAGACACAGTCATGCAGACGAACAGCTCCTGACTTATAACTTTCTGGTTGTTAAGAGTGAGATTAACAAAATAAAATTAGCAAAAAATATATAGGTAATCAAACTGTACAAATGAAGAGCAACACAGGAGGAAAAGCTCGACAGAGTGTGTTAAAAGACCAATCTTTATCGTGCTAGCCGCACTGGACAGAGGACCACCCAGAGACCCCACAGTTGATGGTCTCATATATGGCCTTGTAGGCCTCCCTGCGCTTTGGATACACTGAAAACCAGTTATAAGTCTCTTGTACCAAGTACTCCACACTACGGGGGATGGTGTCATTGGAAGCATGACTTACAGCAAGCTGCAGAGAGTGGCACACACAGCGAATAAGAACCAGATCTTTGAGGCCATACTCCTCCTTCAGCACTTTATGGACCCCATTGTTAATCCCCATTATAACAGAGGCATTGTCAGTCCCTATCCCCAGGAGTTCTCTTTTTTAAGACAACACTTCTCGAGGAAAGCCACAACAGCACGGGCTATAGATTTGGCATCTCCTCCCTCCAACTCAACAAGCGCCAGAAATGTTGATACAATTGTCTGCTTGGTGTCACTAAAGTACCTTATCACAACCCCTAGGTACTTAGAAACACTTACATCCGTGGACTCATCGAGGAGGAGGTTGAAACGCTGGTCACCCACATCTGCGACCAACTTTTTCAGAAAGTATGGTGCTAGAATAATTTCTGTGCACTTTGTCCTGTGCATTTCGAAGTGGGTAGCAGCAGTGGAGTCTGAGAAAGCAGCTCTACATGCTTCTCCAATGTGATCACATGCCAGCATGGAACAGTGTTCAGCGATAGCTAATGCCATGGTGGCCTCAGCCTTTTTTGCAGAGTAAATATTTTAAACCATAAATGGCAGCTTGTTTTGGGTGGAAATGTTATAAGGCTTTGCCTTTTGAGTATGTTTTTGAGTTGTCATGTGTTTTTTTTACATCACTAAGTTTGGCGTAGAAATCTGCCTTACAATACAGGCAGTATGCCCATGTATCATCTCCAATAAACAGTTTCAACCAGCCTTTGAATTCAGGGTTTGATTCCCACTCCTTTCTGTATTTTTGAGTGTACAGTTTAGACTGAGACATGATGAGCTAGCCAGCTAGATGTTTAGCTTATGTCACAGAGAGGCACACACACAGTGGACGAGGTGAGTAAGTGACTGAGGCTGTGTGAGTCAAATGCAGTGATTTATTTTTGTGCAGTGATTTATTTTAGACAAAGAACATTTTACATTTACATCCCACCCTGAATGTAAGCCAGGGCGAGATCAGCCAGCGGCTGGCTTCCCGCATGCGCGATTCATTTGCAGTCTGGACGCCGAGGGGTGAACATCTCCTGCTCTGACTGCAGCTGGGAGGGACTGCTGCGCGAGGACAAGGCCGCCTGTGAGTGCTTTGGGACGGGGGTGGGGCCCACGGCAGCACCCGCTGCTTGTTGAGAAGAGTAAGAACAGTACGTGCTTTCACGTCAGAGTCTCCAAATGTCTCCAATAACACCAGAAAAAGTTGCTAGATTTGTCGTTAGTCGATTTTTTAAAAATGTGTCGCTAGAGGGGTCTGAATACTCGCTAAATATAGCGACAAAGTCGCTAAGTTGGCAACACTGGCTCCAACTGTTTACTGGTGGTAACCATAGCAACATGGCCACTGAGGCAGCGCTAGCAGCGCCAGCAGCAGCAGAGACTGAGAGACTTTCCAGCAGAAATCAAATCAGAGAAGGGAAGAATCAATTTTAAACAGAATTCTGAGGGAGAACCCGGAAACGTTGTTTGCCGACTGCTCACACAACAGGACTGTTACATACCTGTTATTTTACACAGACCACACTACCGGGCGGCAGGTAGCTTGGTGGTTAAGAGCATTGTGCCAGTAACCGAAAGATCGCTGGTTCTAATCCCTGAGCTGACTATGTGAAAAATCTGTCGATGTGCCCTTGAGCAAGGCACTTAACCCTAATTGCTCCTGTAAGTCGCTCTGGATAAGAGAGTCTGCTAAATGACTAAAATGTAAATGTACTGCCTGGCATACAGCTGTAACCAGGCATTTCAGCTATACGACAAATAAAAGCATCTGCAAGGGAAGGCAAATCAATTTTTGAGGACAGCGAAAAGGACCAGGAAAACAGCTTTCTGACGGTAAACATGTACCAGAATGGCACTGTCATGGTCCAGGGCAGTGAGGCTACACTCAGCTCTTTTGTGCAGGACTTCCCCACCCTAAGGAAGATAGCAGAAACCAAAAAGGACAAGGACAACACCCCGACCTCTCCCCTCACCTCAGGCACTCCAACAGCAGGAGCCCAGGCCCAGACCCACACAACAGGTCTGTTCACAGAGCTTCTACAGGACCAGATCAACCAGTGCAGGACCCAGCTGAAGAACTCTGTCCAGGAGATGAGAGAGAGCCTTACTACACCGCTTGAGGAGGTAAAGGCCACCATGAGGAGAGAGCTAGTGCAGGGAAAGGAGGAGATGGCAAAGGAGTTGTCTGTCATCAAGAGTGTGCTGCAGCATAGAGAACAGACTGTAGAGACCCCTAGAGAGAAGCTGCAGCCCCTCACCACCCCTAACACCCCCACTGACCCACCCTCACCCACAACCCCCCCACATACCGACCACCCTTTACCCTGTCTGCCCCCCAACACACCCCCACACACCCCTCCTTGTACACCACCCAACAATCACCCCAGAGCATCTGCATGACCACTCCCACCTGAGGAAGCAGACAGTAGGGATGTTTGCCAAGTCTCTAAAAGACGTGGCACTTGGTAGACAAACACACAATGCCACACTGGAAAGAGGACCACCCAGAGACCCCTACCAGACCACCGCACCACCAAGTAGCCCCAGGCCCCCTCAATGCCCCACCAGACTCAGTGCACCCCACAGGCCCCACCCACCACCAGAGCATCACCAATTCCATCGGCTTAGCCAGACTGGACCGGGCCCAGCCTACTACCCCGCACCCAGACCACCACCTCTACCAGACCAGAGAGGAAGCCCCCCGGCCCAGACTTGGCCCCACTCCACTCCACAGGGCCCAACAGCAGGACTAGTGCAGCTACGCGGAGGTCCTCAGAGGACAGGAGAACCCTGTAGGATTGAGTGAGATTAAACAGCTCCTCCAATACATCTGCACCAAACTGCACTAAATGCGCACACACGCGCACACACACACACACACACACACACACACACACACACACACATACACACACACCCATTGTACTAAAAAAGTTTACTTGTTCAATGAATAGGAATATACTGTATATATATACAGTGGGGAAAAAAGTATTTAGTCAGCCACCAATTGTGCAAGTTCTCCCACTTAAAAAGATGAGAGAGGCCTGTAATTTTCATCATAGGTACACGTCAACTATGACAGACAAATTGAGATTTTTTTTCTCCAGAAAATCACATTGTAGGATTTATAATGAATTTATTAGCAAATTATGGTGGAAAATAAGTATTTGGTCACCTACAAACAAGCAAGATTTCTGGCTCTTACAGACCTGTAACTTCTTTAAGAGGCTCCTCTGTCCTCCACTCGTTACCTGTATTAATGGCACCTGTTTGAACTTGTTATCAGTGTAAAAGACACCTGTCCACAACCTCAAACAGTCACACTCCAAACTCCACTATGGCCAAGACCAAAGAGCTGTCAAAGGACACCAGAAACAAAATTGTAGACCTACACCAGGCTGGGAAGACTGAATCTGCAATAGGTAAGCAGCTTGGTTTGAAGAAATCAACTGTGGGAGCAATTATTAGGAAATGGAAGACATACAAGACCACTGATAATCTCCCTCGATCTGGGGCTCCACGCAAGATCTTACCCCCGTGGGGTCAAAATGATCACAAGAACGGTGAGCAAAAAATCCAGAACCACACGGGGGGACCTAGTGAATGACCTGCAGAGAGCTGGGGACCAAAGTAACAAAGCCTACCATCAGTAACACACTACGCCGCCACGGACTCAAATCCTGCAGTGCCAGACGTGTCCCCCTGCTTAAGCCAGTACATGTCCAGGCCCGTCTGAAGTTTGCTAGAGTGCATTTGGATGATCCAGAAGAGGATTGGGAGAATGTCATATGGTCAGATGAAACCAAAATATAAACTTTTTTGGTTAAAAAACTCAACTCGTCGTGTTTTGGAGGACAAAAGAATGCTGAGTTGCATCCAAAGAACACCATTTTTTTTCTCATTTTGTCTGTCATAGTTGACGTGTACCTATGATGAAAATTACAGGCCTCTCTCATCTTTTTAAGTGGGAGAACATGCACAATTGGTGGCTGACTAAATACTTTTTTCCCCCACTGTGTATATATATATATATAACAGAAACAAATGTTTGCTGTTATCCTGTTTATCTCACTCTTAAACAACTTTAAAATTTAGTTGTTT